GCGTACGATGTTGCGCTGACCAAGTTTCGTCAGCTCGCGATTGTCGCGCGCGTGCTCGGCCTTGGTCTCACACGCTCGATCCTTTCGTTCAAGGTGATGCGTGTATACGTTCTCTCCTTTGTGATGCACGTTCATCCTGTTACTTCTCGCCTTGCCCGCCATTGTCGGGGAGCTGTGATGTATCTTGCTGCCGGCCCTCGTACTGCTATGTCGTATAACTTCTGTGCGCAGCTAAGTGTTATCCATATGCCGCTCTCGTTCCCAGACATTGCCGCCCTCGCCAAGGCCATATGTAGGATATATATTTCGAAGCATCTTGACTTTGGCGCGATGCTTGGGCACCTAGACTCGCTTGCTGATGATCCTGAATGTATAGTTGCATGCGCGGCTTCGGGCTGGTGGCGCACTTCCTCCCTGCGCTATATGCGCAGCATATGCAACTTATGCCTCCCGGGGCCTCGGAGTCTTCCAGAATATCAGAAAAAAAAGTCCAGCTGCGCTGTCTAGGTCTCTGTGGGGCTCGCACGCACCCCGAGGAGGCCACATGCATATTCTTTTTCGGCGTCTGAGGTCCTGGTTTCCGTTGGCCTCTTGTGCTCGCATTGAGAGGTTCAGCATGAACTCGTCGTTGGTCCTGCAAACAACCCAGCCTTACTTTCTGGTGGCGTGGTTCAGAATAATCATTCGGAGCGCATGTACTTTGGCACGATTTCTTTCTTGCCCCTCAGGGTGCGCCTCAGGTGGCCCGCCGCAGGGCGCGAACGACCTCGACGATGTCGGCCGCTACGCCAGGTGTTCTCGTCTGTATTCGCTACTATCTAAATGGCTTGGTTGTCTCTTACCTCCGTCGTCTTCATGTCCCGAGGGCGTCCCCTGGCTCTCCTCCGTCCTCCTTTTCACCTCGGCGTCACCTGTCGCCAACGTCTTGTACGCGTCGTGTATAGATGCCTTCCTTGCTCTGCATTCGGCCCGCAGGCGGGGGGTCCAAGGCGCGCCCGACCAAAGCTTTGAAACCAGTTTGCGGATGCACGCGCGTCGCCGCAAGTTTGTAGCCCAAGCGTGTCGAGTGCGTGGTGTTGTGCAATTCTCTCCCGCCCCCTTCTCCTCTCGTTTCAACGAAGTGGCTCGACGGCAGCTGTTGCCTGGCCAGGGGCTGGAGGTAACTCGCGGCCGCTCGCGGTCTCGTGCGCGCGGCCGCTGGTAGCCGCCCGATATCGGAGACATCGCCTTTTGGGGCCCAGCTCAGCGCCGGCAAGAAAGAGTCGAAGTTGGCGCAAGCGGCCGGGGGCGCGCATTGCACCGTGGGTGGGGGGGGGGGGGGGGCCACAGGGGGCGGCGGATCTCATGGCCTTCGGCCCATCCCGCCTCCGCGCCTCGGTTGTGGGTATAAGACTTATTGGATGTTCATTGTAATCTCGCGGGGGGCATCTCGGTGGCCAAACGGAGGCAGTTTGGAGGCCTCCTGGGAGCCTCGTGGGTTGGGCCTCTTGGGGGCCTGTTGGGGCCTCTTGGGGGCCTCGTGGGGGCGTTTTGGGGCCTCCTGGGCGCTTCTTGGGGCTTCCTGGGGGCCTCTTGGGGCGGAAAGCTCGCATTTTCGGTTCGCGTCCCCTCCTGAAGCCCTCTTGGGCCGTCGTGGGCGCGGTGGTCTTGGAGCGCCGTGAAGCCGAACACGCGAGAACGCCACAGAAACTCAACTAGCCTGGCGAAGGACCCAACCATATGCAATTGTGAGCAACGTCGTTGTATGCAACGCATTCGGAGGAGCTCCCTATAGGGCCGCGAAACATGTGAGAGGCGTGCCAGACATTGTGCGGTGGGCGTATGCGAAAGCAGCCACTGGGGCCGTCGGGTCACGAAGCGTGCGAGGGGTTTGCCGAAATTGGTGCGGTGGGCGCATGCGAACGTAGCCACTGGGGCCGTCGGTGGAGTAGCCACCTTGCGGACTGCGCCACTGGGAACTCAGGTGGAGCTCCCTATTGGGCCACGAACCGTGTGAGGAGTGTGCCGAACTGGGCCGGCGCCGCCATGCGGACGGCGCAACTGGGACCTTAGGTGGAGCCCCCGATGGGGCCGCGAAGCGTGTGAGGGGTGTGCCAAAATGGGGCGGCGCCGCCATGCGGACGGCGCCACTGGGACCTCAGGTGGAGCTCCCTATGGGGCCACGAAGCGTGTGAGGGGTGTGGCGAAATTGAGCGGCGCCGCCATGCGGACGGCGCCCCTGGGACCTTCGTTTGGGCGCCCTATGGGGCCACGAAGCGTGTGATGGGGTGTGGCGAAATTGGGCGGCGCCGCCATGCGGACGGCGCCACTGGGACCTTCAGTGGAGTTCCCGATGGGGCCACGAAGCGTGTGATGGGTGTGCCGAAATGGTGCGGCGCCGCCTTGCGGACGGCGCCACTGGGACCTTAGGTGGAGCTCTCGATGGGGGGCCACGAACCGTGTGAGGAGTGTGATGAAATCGGGTGGCGCCGCCATAGGACGGCGCCACTGGGACTTTAGGTGGAGTTCCTTATGGAGGGCCACGAAACGTGTGAGGAATGCGCCGAAATTGGGCGGCGCCGTCTAGCGGACGGCGCCACTGGGACCTTAGGTGGAATTCCCTATGGGCCACGAAACGGGTGAGGGGAGGGGGAGGAATGGGAGGAGGGGGAGGAGGCGGAGTGAAACGCGGCGCGTTGTCTTTTCAAAACGAGGACCCAACACCACAGGATGGTCAGGACAAACAAGTGGGAAAACCATGGTTTTAGCTTTTGGGGGGCATTCTTGGGAGGCCCCTTGGAGGCATCTTGGGGCCGTCGTGGAGGCCTCTTGGGCCGTCTGGAGGCCATCTTGAGAATGTTTGGGCGGTCTCTGGGCGTATCGGGCGAAGCCCTCTTGGGCTGTAATAGAGGCCTCCTGGAGCACTCTAGGCCCGTTTTGGAGTCGTCTTGGGTCCGGGGAAGTCATGCGACGAGCTTCGGGGGAGCCTAGAACCCAGAGGAACCGCAAAAAACTCCGCCAACTGTGGGAAATTGGGGCCGGGCCCTAAAGAGACGTCTCAGGAGTGCTGAGGCTTATGGGCTGAAGCTTGAGGGATTAGGCAAAGAACCTGAGGATACGCCCACTCCGTGCCCAGAGGCACGGTGGCGGATACAGGGAGCACTTTCCATCCACCTTCCCCGTCCTCTCGTTGCGGGGGACAGCGCTCTTGCCGGCGAGCGAGATGTGTGATATTATTCCTTCCCCCACCGCTGGCAGCTGCGGCGGCTGCAGCGATTTCGCATAGTTGCGTTGCCTTCTACTATTCGCTCGATGTGGGGACACGTACCTCCAGCGATCTTGGACTACTCAAGTTGTTTGGGTTCGTGCCCCTAACATTGTTGTTTGTTTTTCCATGTTCTAAATTCTTGAAACTATATTAACGTGACCAAGCAAGCCATGGCCGACCGCGTGCCCGAAATAGTGACCCAAAGCGTAGTGTGACCGAAGTTGTGCGATCGAAAGTATGATCGCTTTGGTTCCGAAACAAGGATTACTGTATCACATTGGCGCGTTCGGAAAATCGGTCGCCAGCTTCGGTCACACTCGGGAAGGTAGGTGTTCGGGCACAGTCTCGGTCACTACACCCCCTGATAGCGACGATGCTGCGCAGCAGGTCCTGGCCCAGTTGGAACAGGACTCGCCGTCTGTGACGCCGCGGGCGTTGTCCATTTGAGACACAAGCTCGCCAGCCCAACAGCGGCCGCTGTCGGTGTTGGACAGCTTTCGCTGTTGGTCACCGTCTCCATTTTTCTGTGCCTTCGTCGGGCGTTCAAGTCGGAGGAGGGAAGAAGAAACCTCCTCCTGGCATTCCCAGACCCCCGACGATCATCTGATTCTTTTCGGTCCCAGCGCCTTCCCTTCGTTTCGGCCTGTGGGGCCCACTCTCGGGCCAGCGGGGCCCGCCCCAGTGCAATCGAGAAAGGAGCTGCGGCGACAGACCAGCCCCAGGGAACTGGTTTTTTGAGCTCTGGGGCCGCGGATGGATGCAATCGCATCGTCTGAGGTCTGGGCGGGGGCCTTCGGAGACATGAACAGATCAGGGCACATGTTCATCGAGTATGAAAAGAAGCCCTGGTCCTAATAACACAGTGAAGACGTGGCCTCACTTAGGTCTCCGCCTTTGCATTGGGGAGAAGTAATCTGGGCGGTTTGGCTTGATACATACATCGGCAGAAATAATCCCCATATTCCTAATGGTCTTGGCCCTCCTGACTTTGGTCCCCTCCCAGAGTCCCAGAGGGTACGGGGTGTCCCGCCGTTTTTTCTGCAGGTGTCCCGTCGTTTTTTCTGGCCGAGGACTCCCCCGGGGGCTGTCGGCAGAAGCGGCTCGGGACGCGAGGCCGCCCCCTGGGAAGCGGCCGCGTGACGGCATGGGCGGCAGCGCGGCGCAACCTCGGCGGGCCCACACATGGGGGGAGGGTGGGGTTCACTTCGCTCGGGAGCGTGGGGTTCACTTCGCTCGGGAGCTCCCGAACGAAGTGAACCCCACCCTCCCCCTCCGAAATCGTGGGGGGGAGGGTCAGGGTTCGCATGTGGCCCCCTGCACACAAGCGCACGGGGCGCCCACGCGGCGGCACGGGCGGCAACCTGGGTCTGGAACTCCAGGGGTCCACGTTGCGACAGGAATCAGAGTGTCGGGAGGTCTGGGCTCGCGGGCCCCCCCCCCCGAGATCCAGGGCATGTTCGTCCTCTCACAGGGCGCTTGCCGTTTTCCCGCTCGCGCCCCAGGGCCCTCGCAGATCGGTCCGGTGGGCTCCACGGCTCCCAGTCGCGATTTGGCCGGTGTTGCATGTCCTCGCGACGTCGGATCTCAGGGTCCTGGGGGGCCTCCTGGGAGGCCCACCTGCCCTCGTCTCCACGGGCGGGCTCGCCCCGTGGTCCTAGCTGGCCAGAGCTCGCCCCGCGAGAGGCCAGAGCTCGCCCCGCCCCGCGAGGGGCCAGAGCTCGCCCCGTGTGGGCACCCCCCTGCCTCCCCAGAGGCCGAGCCGACCGGGATCGCGTCTCGCAAGCCGCTGGCGCCTGGCGCGGCCGAGGCCGAGCCGCCCGGCGCGCGAAAGCCGCCGGCCGCGGGCGCTGCCGAAGCCAAGCCGCCCGGCTCGCAGGCGCCGCCTGCCCCGAGCGCGGCCAAGGCCACGGCGCCTGGCGTGGAGAAGGAGGCCTCGCCGCCGCCGACGGCGCCGCTTTCTCTCCCTCCCCCTCCCCTCTCTCTCTCTCGCTCGATCTTTCCCTCTCTCCCTCTTTCCCTCGCTCCCTCTCTCCCTCGTCTGGAGGGGAAGGGGGAGGGGGAGGGTCCACGCGCCAGCTCACGACGCCAGCGTGGCCCAGGGCGGGACAGGACTCTTGCGGCGTCGGAGCACACACTTCGTCTCATCGAGCCCCCTCGAGCAGGATGAGGGGCACTTGCTGCGGCGCGCGACGGTGGAGACGGAGGGGGTTGCGGAGGAGGTGGAGGACAAGGAAGAGGAAAGCGGACGGCATGCAAGGGTGGCTGGGCAGATGGGGCAGGAGAGAGGGCGTGAGTGGGAGAGAGGCACTGGTCGTGGAGGTCGCGGTCGTCGTGGCGGTGGTGGTGGCGGTTGAAGTGGTCGTGGTGGTTGAGTCGTTGGTCGTTGTCGTGATCGTGGGGGTTGTGATGTCGTCTTGGCGGAGGACGTGGTGGTCGTGGTGGTGGTGGGCGTTGTGGTGGTGGCGGCTGCTGGGGTGGGCTTGGGCGAACCACCGCGTTGCTCCGGGGGGCAGGGACCCTTGCGGGTGTGCCGTTATATACGCCGCGCCGGAGCTCGCTCGCAGCCGGAGCTCGCTCGCAGCCGGTCCCCGAGGGACGAGGGGTGCCGTGTTGTCCGTTGAGGAACCGGGGCTATCACGCCGCTGGGCCGGAGCCCGCCCTCTGTGCCCCCCTCCCCTGCGGCGTAAACTGCCGTTTTTGTTGTTGTTGTTGTTGTTGTTGTTGTTGTTGTTGTTGTTGTGGTTGTGGTTGTGGTTGTGATTGTGGTTGTGGTTGTGGTTGTTGTGGTTGTGGTTGTGGTTGTAGTTGTGGTTGTTGTTGTTGCTACTGCTGTTGTTGTTGTTGTTGGTGGTGTTGTTGTTGTTGGTGGTGTTGTTGTTGTTGTTGTTGTTGTTGTTGTTGTTGTCGTTGTGGTTGTGGTTGTGGTTGTGGTTGTGGTTGTGGTTGTGGTTGTTGTGGTTGTGGTTGTGGTTGTGGTTGTGGTTGTTGTTGTTGTTGCTGCTGCTGCTGCTGTTGTTGTTGGTGGTGGTTTTGTTGTTGTTGTTGTTGTTGTTATTGTTGTTGTTGTAGTTGTTGTTGAACATTATTTCTTCTTAAGAATAATTATTGTTGGGACCCCTGGTGCACGACCCCCCCGCCGCGCCTAGGCCGCAGCCTCATTTTCATCATTTTCGTGAGGAAGTCTCAGGCAAAACGGGGGAGTCCGGATCCGGTTGTGTTGTTACGATCGGTTTTCCCTTGCAAAAAATAAGCTAAAGTGGACATTTCTTGTTCTAACATAACCAAACTTCAAGAATCCCTTGCAAAAAATAAGGTAAAGTGGACATTCGCGCGCGCAAGACGAAATCCTTCCAAAACCTTAGTTTTCGTAGCGATTTTAACATAAAAACATCAAAAAACCAATGGTTTTTCAAAAAAAAAAAAATGTCAAAATTTCATCCCGCGCGCTCTTGCGGATTCGTAGGAAACCCAACACTTTTTAAACATTTCTGTCAAACGGGCTTTTGCGAGCAACTTTTTCGAACTTCTGCAACAACGGTTGCGCACCTGCCAGGGCCATCATCCCTGTCAAATAATACCATGCGGGACACATTCGTTTTTTCTTCGCGCGCGCACGCCGTCGTCGTCGGCCGCGGGGCCCTGAATAGTAGCCACGGTCGTCCGCATGCCACGAAGTGAAGTGTCCGAACGTCATAGGGCGGGAAGCTGGGTGTGGGTGGTGGCGAAGAGTCGTTTGGAAATTTGGTAGAGCTTGAACCGGCCCCCCCACAAAGTGGGGGTATTGCCCGCCTCCTATGAAAACCCTGGCACTGGTGAGAACGGAGTGTCCCCACGTGCTAGTAATTGTTGAACATTATTAATTCTAAAGAATAATTATTGTTGGGCCCCCTGGTGCACGCCCCCCCCCCCGCGCCTAGGCCGCAGCCACATTTTCATCATTTTCGTGAGGAAGCCTCAGGTAAAACGATGTGATCCAGATCCGGTTGTTTTGTTGTAATCCGTTTTCCCTTGCAAAAAACACTATAAAATGACATTTCTTGTTCTAATATAATCAAATTTCAAGAATCCCTTGCAAAAAATAAGGTAAAGTGGACATTCGCGCGCGCAAGACGAAATCCTTCCAAAAGCTTAGTGTTCGGAGCGATTTTAACATAAAAACATCAAAAAACCAATGGTTTTTCAACAAAAAAATGTCAAAATCTCATCCCGCGCGCTCTTGCGGATTCGTAGGAAACCCAACACTTTTTAAACATTTCTGTCAAACGGGCTTTTGCGAGCAACTTTTTCGAACTTCTGCGACAACGGTTGCGCACCTGCCAGGGCCATCATCCCTGTCAAATAATACCATGCGGGACACATTCGTTTTTTCTTCGCGCGCGCACGCCGTCGTCGTCGGCCGCGGGGCCCTGAATAGTAGCCACGGTCGTCCGCATGCCACGAAGTGAAGTGTCCGAACGTCATAGGGCGGGAAGCTGGGTGTGGGTGGTGGCGAAGAGTCGTTTGGAAATTTGGTAGAGCTTGAACCGGCCCCCCCACAAAGTGGGGGTATTGCCCGCCTCCTATGAAAACCCTGGCACTGGTGAGAACGGAGTGTCCCCAGTCTTAAATGATTGTTGTTGTTGTTGTTGTTGTTGTTGTGTGTGTGTGTGTTCTCTCTCCCTCTCTCTTTCTCTCTCCTTCTCTCTCTTTATCTCTCCTTCTCTCTCTGCCTGTATGCATCATCTCTCCTCCCGTACCTTTCTGTTCTCTCTTCTCTCCTGCCTCCTCCCTCCTCTCTCCTCTGTTGCCTTGCCTGCCATCTGTCTCATAACTTGTCTTCTGACTAGTGTCCCTTCTCCTTTCTTACCTTTCCTGTCTACTGTCTCCCCTCTCTCCTCGATCTTCACCGCTCCATTATGTCTATTCGTATATCATTCATGTATGTGCTTCAGGCTGTCTCGTATCTGTTCTTTACCCTGTCTCACGTAGTGTGTCCTTTTCTGTCGCCTCTCTTCTCTCTCGTTGATCCTTTCGTTTCTCTGCTCTCTCTCTATTTTTACATACACATATTATCTCCTGTCTTATCCCGTTTTGTTTGGTTTGTGTGCGCGTGTCGCGTCGTTGATCCCCGTCGAGCGTGTTGGAAGGACCACGCCGCGTTGGAGCGGGCCCGCATCCAGCTGCAGGCCGCCTGGCGTGGGTCGCTCGCGCGGAGGGAGTTGAGGGCCCAGCGGGACAAGGAGTCGGGGCGCTCGGGCTGCTTTGCTTGCCGAGTGGCTTTGCGGGCGCGCACTCCTCGTCACTCTGCCATGCTGCTGGGATGTTGGCGCACATGGCCTGGATTCGGGACACAATCTGCCGCCAAGACCTTCAGACTTGTCAGCGTCTGACGAGGAAGATCAGCCTCCTATCCAAGAGCCCCAGGAGGATGGGTGTTGGTGATAGAAGAGGAGAAAAGCCCGCGTCGTGACATCCTCCGTGTGATGCCCAGGAAGCGTGGGCGTCATGCTCCCTGGGGCGCTTGGGGGCCAGGAGGGCGGGGAGGAGTGGGATGGATAAGGGAGGAGGAAGAGGAGGATGACTTTACGTGATGTTGCTTTGGGGCGCCTGCGCCCCGCTGGCGGGCCCGGCGTTCTGGGGCAGGGATCACCACACTGACAAGCAGCCCGGCCCGCCTGCTTTGGGTTACCCCTCCCTCCCTCCTTGTCTTCTTCCTGCTGTCCCACTTTCTCCTCCCTCCCTCTCCTCTCCTCCTGCTCCCTGCCTGCTTTGTTCGCCTGGCGCCCTCCTTCCTGACAGCACAGCCTGTCTGGGCCCAGCATGGCGGCGCGCAGAGCTCCGGCCTGAGGAGCCGAGGAGCCAGGGAGGCCTCGGAATGCCGCTACGGCAGCAGCAAATACAGCTTTACATTTGCGGAGAATTCTTTCCAATGACTGCTCGTTCCTTCTGCAACTGCGCATTGTCAGACATTGGGATTTGGTAAGGCCTCTGGCTCTGGAAACTGGGGATCTTGGGAAGGATTTTACGCAAGGACCGACCACAACGCTGTTTAGCTTGGCTTGGGCCCTTGTTGTGTTTTTCATTTCGTTTTTCGTTGTTGTTCCGTTTCGATGCTCGTTGTTGTTTTGAATGTCCCGTTTCGTCGTTTTTTTCGTTTGGCACCGGCTTCTTCTAAACGTTCGTCTTGAACGTTGGGCTTGGTTTCGTTGTTCGTTGTAAACGACACTTCGTTTTAAACATCGTTGTGGTCGGTCTTTTATTCTACGTGCAGAGCGCTGGGTCTGGGAAGGCTTTCGGAGTTCGCCGGTGCCGGCTCGGCCCGCGGCGCCCGCGAGCGCGTGCGGCGCGCGGGCTGACCAAGTCCCCAATCCTTGCTGACCCCAGCGTTCTGCATCCCAACTCCGTCCAGCTCTGGAACCTTCACAGCGCCACCGTTTTGTATTCAATATTTCTCCAGCTCTGGAATATTTGGGATCCTCGTCGGTTCATACCTTATGTACAAACATCGGGAGATGTATACATACGTACACATACATACTTACAAGCATGCATGCATGGAAACATGCATGCATGCATGCTTGCATTCATGCATGCAATCATGCATGCATTCATGCATACATAGATACAGGGATGCACACACAAATACAGACACACACACACACATCCATCCATCCATGCATGCATTCATCCATCCATCAATCCATACGTACAGACTCACAGACATACATACATACACACATACACACATACATGCATACACACGTACATACATAC